TGCGTGAGAAAAGACTGATCTAATTTCTATTGCTGAAAATTGAATAAATAAGAAAAATAGCAGATACACGGTGGTCTTTTCTATTTGGCAGTCGGTAACTACGTCAAGAAATTTAGTTCAAATTTTTAACCACGGATTTAGCTTTCTGTCTGAATCAAACTTAAAACGTTTATTTGTGTCTGACACAATGTATTGACTGTAGTTTAATGCGTGTTCTTATGAGTCCGGGCTCACAAAGATGTCACAATTACTGGGAATGCGTTCTTATAATAAGCATTAAATAATGCCAAAATGGGGCATTTTCAATGCCTCACTGCTCCTTAATGAGCATGGGTATCCCACTTTTTTATTTCAAAATTGAAGTTATCATATGATAAGTATTCAGTGGACAAAGTTTGAACAAAAGTCTATTGTCACTTTTATTTCAGAGGAATTACCTTAACCCAGCACACAAGGATACATAATTCAGAAATCTCTGTAGTAACTTGGTGAAATCTGTCTCACAGATATAATTATAAACAATAGCCTCCATTTGACTTTGAAAATATGCTCGGATATTTGTCCGCGGACATTATCTGTTCCGAGAAGCGAACAGTTTTCCGAGAGCGAAGCTCGAGGAAGACTGTGAGCTTCGAGGAACAGATAATGTCCAAGGACAAATATCCAAGCATATTTTCAAAGTCAAATGAAGGCTATTGTGTTTATTGTCCTTCAAATATTTTTTGCAACACGCGCAGTTTCGAAAATTGGGGAATATTCACATATATTTCCCAGTTTTAGCTGGGGAATCTTCGGTCACGTGACGCGTTTAGACCAATCGCGGGGGGATCTGTAAATCCAAAACATTTAAAGGACTGTATGAAGCTTAATTCGAATTTCTAGAGGGGTAGGGTGGGGGATCTTAGAAAAAAATCCCTTCCATGGGGGAGGTATGGGTATTTTCTGGTACTACACATTTGAACAGTAATTTGAGGCACTATAACCAGCAAAGTTGGTGCTGAATGTTCAATGAAATAACACCCAACTTACCTCCTGTACTAAAGGCTGTTGAAAAAGAGGAATGAGAGGGTTTGTTCTTGGGATATCTATGTGAATCTGTTGAACAAATTATGAAGAACGTGCATTAAGTTGTCTGTTCCCAGCATTGCGTGAGACATAGGAATAACTTTATGTCAGGAATAAACACTCACTGGCATAAATAAATCAAATGGAGTTTGCTTCAACCATAGATACACGTAGAGTACAGGTTTGAGCACAGGTCTCCCCAGCTCCTTCAAAGACTCAAAGACTCAAAGTAAGTTGTTCTTATTGAATTTGTTTTCCATATTTCAAACTGTTATTAATAAACAATTGTTACATTCCACCACAAACTCATAAATTTACGCTGTGTTGTGCAACTGAGTGTAATATTTGAAGTGTTCACTGCCCTCAAGGAGCTTGGGAGACCTGTGGTTTGAGTTGCCAATAACAAATACCTGTCTAAAAGTGTCGTGATAGGTGTCCTCATATCTCGTAGGGTAATACTGCTTGACAAAATTGCGGTACTCCTCTCGTTTTCGATCCAGTGTTGCTTGTCTTCTATCTATATTTGCTGGCAAGTACCCCTAATAATAAATAAAGTGGTTTTCAATTGAGTGTTGAAAAGTACAGCTGAACCTCGATTATCCGTACCTCAATTATTCGGATTTCTTGATTATCTGGACTTTTTCTCTAGTCCCAATTTTGTCATGAATATTTATTAGTCATGATTAAGATCCGTAGCAATATTCTTTTTAAAACTATAGCATTAAAAAGCGCAGTCAAAAGCAAGCTTGTTTTGCTTTTCAAGAGCACAAACAGTGCTCGCATGCGTCGTATCCAATGAAGAACACTCGAATAAGTTGTTATTGGCTCAGAGTTGAGTGGTTCAAAATGTACAGTAGGCCATACTTCTTTCCATACGATTTGTAAAAGGGTTCACGATTAAATGTTGCTTCATTTAACCAGTTTTGTTCTTCATTAATATTCATATTTTCGGTTATCTGGACCCTCGATTATCCAGACTATTTCATCTAGTCCCAATGAGTCTGGATAATCGAGGTTCAACTATAATTGGTTTTGCACTGCAATCCTACACAATTGGCTTAAGAACCTGTGCCACATTTTCATCCAATCACAAGTTAAACCAAAACCAATTATGACATGTTTGCACAAGTTTTTCTGCACTTGGGTCAACTACATGTAATTAGTCCAAGTTTTGATTGGTTTGTTGGATTGTCTGTGTCCAGTTGAAAACGGCCTCAACACTGCTTGTTCAGTGACTTAGAATATTATTACCAAGTACACTTCAACATTATAAAAGCATATACAGTATCTGTGTACATGTACATGTAATTCAACAAGGTACATGTAACTGAATCAGCTCTTGGTGGCATTTTAACAGTCTGTAAAGGTACATGTACACAGGTACACAGGTAAAGTGTAACCGTTATTTTCTTGTTGCAGAAAAACTTGCCACACAAACTTGAAATTGCCTGTTCATTTCTCTGATTCCCCACACGATAGTTTTGTGATTTAATTTGCACAGAAAAGTTCCAAGGATATTGTTGAGGTATCAACTCAAAGTTCTGGGTTATCTGTAGAATTTCTGAAAGTCTCACTTATGAAAGACAATACACACAGTGCTATAGTCTTACACAAACCTAAATCAAAACCAAAGATTTCTGGTTGAATCTCAAACAAGTTGTTCGTGGGGATGGAAATGACTGAACAAAGACTGAGAGACAAGACAACAACAATAGCCTCATGATCAGGTTATATCAATAGCCTGTTGAACACAACTGATGGTCAGAGGTTGGTGACTTACACACAGCAGCTGCCATGTTGTTGGACGTACTGTGACTGGAATGCCTGACCAACTGAGTTTTCTTATTGCATCTGCAAAAACAAGAAGAGGTTGGTTTGCTTGTTTGCTTACATAAAGTGGTGTAAGCTGACACACTGATTCTATGAACTGTTTTAAAGCATTTT